GTAGGTTATTCCCGTATGAGGAAGCCTGAGCTCGTTGAACTGTTCCATCAGCACAGAGTCGTTGATCTAGAGTTCGTGAGCACTGAACGCTCTGTAGGTAACTATCTGAGAGGCTGGCGCATGCATGTAGATAAGAACATAGACATCGGCGACGTCAATCCACTGATCGCTGACAAAGTTAATGAGGAACTGAACGATTTGGGAAGTCTAAAGTTTCAAATAACGGCAAAGATGTCGCTTGATAAACAGCAGAATGGTGCCGTTGAGTACGTTCAGCCTTACTTCCGGGGTAAACAAGAAGTCGTGACTCATGCCGAGACTATAGACGCGTCCATCGACACCAGTCTTCAGCAAATACGAGAGACCCTGGAATGCTTCACGCACAGGGGTTCCGGGTGGGCCGTAGATAAAATCGATAAACTCTATCTAGACATAGCTAACTACGTACCATTCAGAGGCGGATCGTACCTAGACTTGCCCCCCTACTACAAGAAAAAACAGGCCATGGTCAACATCAAAAACATAGGGGACGATGGCATGAGGTTAGCGATCAGGTCAGCCTTGTTTCCAGCCGACGCTAATTCGAACAGGCCTTCTAGCTATCCCCAAGATGATGGGCTCAACTGGGACGGTGTAGACGAACCCACCCCCATATCCCAGGTCACCAAAATCGAGAAACAGAATGATATAGCCGTCAACGTCTTTGGGCACGAAGGCAACAAAACAATCGTGCACAGGATCAGCCCAATGGAGGGTCGCCGCGTGATCAATATATTCATGATCCAGCGAGGTGACAAGTACCACTACGCGTGGATAAAACACTTCAGCAGGCTGTTGTACGACCAATCGAGATATGAGGGAAAAACACACTTTTGTGAATGATGCCTACACAGTTTTCACCCGAGCTGATTTATTAGAATCTCAGTGGGAGGATTGCCAAGGTGTGGGGCCATACAAATCGACATGCCCGAGGAAGGCGACAATATCCTAAAATTCGACAACCACAAGAACCAGATGTCCGTACCTTACATCATCTACACCGACTTCGAAGCCCTCGTCAAACCCGCTGACATCGGCCCGGCTCCCAACACATACAAAAGGAGCACGAGGCCTGTGGGTTTGGATACGTGGTCATCCGATGTGATGGGGAAACGAACGCTCCCGTGGTGTACAGGGGTCCCAACGCGGCTGAAAAGTTTCTAAAGTGCTTGCAATGGGAAGAGAAAGCCATCAGGAAGAAATTGTACAATGTCGTCCCTCTTGATCTTACCCTGATGCCTTGCTGAAGAAAACCGGAGTTAAGCTGGAACTCCGATTACAACATGCACCTGTTCATCGAGAAAGGATTGCGAGGTGGGATTTCCATGGCTGCCAAATGGTACGCAAGAGCCAACAATAAGTACGTAAAGGGCTACGATGCTAGCAAACCCATTAATCATCTCCTCTATCTCGACGCCAACAACCTGTACGGTTGGGCCATGAGCCAGTATCTACTCACCGGGGGGTTCGAGTGGGTGCCTGAGATAGACGTCATGAGCATACCGGCGGATTCGGGGGTAGGTTACATACTCGAAGTTGACTTGGAGTACCCAACAGCATTACATAAGTCACACAACAGTTACCCCCTGGCCCCAGAACGTTTGATGGTGAACCCGGACTGGATGTCCGACTACCAACGGAGGGTGGGGGGTAATAAGCTAGCCAAAGTCGAAAAACTTGTACCCAACTTGATGAACAGGACCAAGTACATCGTTCACTATCGTAACCTGCAGCTGTACCTGTCGCCGGGTATGAGGCTGACTAAAACCCATGGGTTGCTCAAGTTTGACCAGAGCCCGTGGATGGAGCCCTACATCAGAATGAACACGGACCTGCGAAAGCTGGCCACCAGTGACTTCGAGAAGAACCTCTACAAGCTCATGAACAACTCAGTGTTCGGTAAGACGATGGAGAATTTACGAAAACGCGTGACCGTGAAGTTGGTCCGGGCGAAAGAGGAAGACAAGCTCAGGAGACTGATAGCCAGCCCGGCATTCAACCAGAGCAAGATATTCACCGACGCTCTGGTGGCCCTACATATGAGGAAGAGCCACATCAAGTTCAACCGGCCCGTCTACGTGGGGATGAGCATTCTTGACCTCTCCAAGCACCTGATGTACGACTTCTACTACAACGAGCTCAAGAAGCATTACGGCGACAGGTGCGAAGTGCTGTACACGGACACGGACTCCCTGCTGATGGAGATTCGAACCGAAGACATGTACGAGGACATGGTAAAACACATCCATTTATACGACACCAGTGACTACCCCAAGGACCATGCCATGCACAGCATGGTTAACAAAAAGGTCCTCGGCAAGATGAAGGACGAGGGTGCTGGCACGCCCATAGCAGAGTACATAGGCTTGAGGCCCAAGATGTACTCCATCCTGAAAGCCGACACAATAGCGAGATCCGGAAGGCGAAGGGTGTCAAGAAGTACGTGGTGAAACAACACATCAAACACACCAGGTTCAAGGAGGCCCTGTTGAGGGCCCGCACCTTCAAGCACCAGATGAACACGCTGAGAAGTGAAGGACACAGGATATACGGACTGACGATAAACAAGACGTCCCTATCACCGATGGACACGAAGCGTTGGATAGCCATCGACGGGACCAATACGTACGCGTACGGGCATGAAAACATTGAACCAAAGACATAGCCGTATGTATACGATGTCACGGAAAGAGAGAAAGTTTGAAGCTATTACTACAGCCCGCGTGGGTACTGGAAAGGAGCAAGTGCCGTACATAAGCTTGCCAAAATGGCAACAGTACCCCCGGACGAGGAAAAAAGCGTGGCTTGAAAAACAATCCCTGTGGCGGATCTATTTACCGGCACCACGCTACGTGCCTAGAAGAAAGTTCGGGCATTGCCGTACCCAATAGCGTCCACCAGGCCGACCTCCTGTTCCTACCCCACGACAAGAGGTACAAGTATGCACTAACCTGTATGCTACAAAGAAGCCGAACCCTTAACCGAGAAAGACTCGGCCCAGGTAGCCCGCGGATTCGAACGCATATACAAACGCAGCCCGCTGACATGGCCCACCGAACTGCAAGTCGATCCCGGACGGGAGTTCATGGGTGCCTTGTCACAACTGCTAGCCAAGCACGGCGTCCAGGTTAGACGTGGCGCGGCCGGGCCTTATCGCAGTCAAGCCATAGTTGAGAGATTCAATAGGACTTTGGCCGAGTGCTTATTCGGGCATTAGTATGCGAGAGAGATGGCCAACCCAGGAAAACAATCGACGGAATGGTTAGCGAGGCTACCTCAAGTGGTGTCGGCTATCAACCACGAAACCACTCGGCTCACCGGCAAGAAACCGGCCGACGCTATCAAACTGAAATCAGTGACGGCCGAACCGGCTGCACTATTGCGTGGGAAGGAGAAACAGATACCTGACCGGGTCCTAGTGAGGTACCTCTACCAGCCGGGAGAACATGAAGGGGACACTCGGAAACGAGCCACCGACCCGACATGGTCAGTCAAAACTTACAACATAGATAAAGTGGACATCAAAGCCGACGAGCCGAACTCGTCCACAAAGTCATATAGTATTACCCCAGAGCTTGTTGTCCACAAAGTCATATAGTATTAACTCAGATGTTGTTGTCCACAAAGTTGTCCACCACGCTACGTGCCTAGAAGAAAGTTCGGCATTGCCGTACCCAATAGAGTCCACCAGGCCGACCTCCTGTTCCTACCCCACGACAAGAGGTACAAGTATGCACTAACCTGTATGCTACAAAGAAGCCGAACCCTTAACCGAGAAAGACTCGGCCCAGGTAGCCCGCGGATTCGAACGCATATACAAACGCAGCCCGCTGACATGGCCCACCGAACTGCAAGTCGATCCCGGACGGGAGTTCATGGGTGCCTTGTCACAACTGCTAGCCAAGCACGGCGTCCAGGTTAGGCGTGGCGCGGCCGGGCCTTATCGCAGTCAAGCCATAGTTGAGAGATTCAATAGGACTTTGGCCGAGTGCTTATTCGGGCATTAGTATGCGAGAGAGATGGCCAACCCAGGAAAACAATCGACGGAATGGTTAGCGCGGCTACCTCAAGTGGTGTCGGCTATCAACCACGAAACCACTCGGCTCACCGGCAAGAAACCGGCCGACGCTATCAAACTGAAATCAGTGACGGCCGAACCGGCTGCACTATTGCGTGGGAAGGAGAAACAGATACCTGACCGGGTCCTAGTGAGGTACCTCTACCAGCCGGGAGAACATGAAGGGGACACTCAGAAACGAGCCACCGACCCGACATGGTCAGTCAAAACTTACAACATAGATAAAGTGGACATCAAAGCCGACGAGCCGAACTCGTCCACAAAGTCATATAGTATTACCCCAGAGCTTGTTGTCCACAAAGTCATATAGTATTAACTCAGATATTGTTGTCCACAAAGTCATATAGTATTACCCCAGAGGTTGTTGTCCACAAAGTCATATAGTATTATCCCAGATGTTGTTGTCCACAAAGTCATATAGTATTACCCCAGAGGTTGTTGTCCACAAAGTCATATAGTATTACCTCAGATGTTGTTGTCCACAAAGTCATATAGTATTACCCCAGAGGTTGTTGTCCACAAAGTCATATAGTATTTTCCCAGATGTTGTTGTCCACAAAGTCATATAGTATTACCCCAGAGGTTGTTGTCCACAAAGTGACATAGTATATACAGGGGTAATACTATATGACTTTGTGGACAACAACCTCTGGGATAATACTATATGACTCTGTGGACAACCTCTGGTTTATTGCTATTCAGTTTATTAGGTATAATACCATGAAGGCTTAGTCAAGTGAGGGCTCCCTTTTAGAGCGCAATGATAGTGCTGCAACTTTCACCACCTAACAAAGACTTATGATAGTGGTAGTTAACTGTGCTAGCATACTGAACTGAATGGATAATGACAACAGCTGCAGTCTTGTGAATCTGGACCACTTACAGACTTGTTCTGGTTCAGAGGCTGAGCAAAAGACTCCAGAAAGGGCACCATGGGAGATGGAGGCTCCTGGGCTTCAGGGGGCTGAAAGTACAACAGTAACAGTCAATGAAATATTGCAGAATCAGATATCTTGTAACTTCCATCCGGTATTAACAATAAGGCAACTTGTGTATCAGAATGTGATGTATCTTCAGACAACCTCTTATTGGGGAAAGATAGGATTTGTTACAGCAGGTATGTTGTTTGCATATTCTGAAGCGTGAAAATCATGTCCAGTCCCTCACTCCCTCTCAGATATCATTACATCAACACAAAAAAACATTTAACAGGATCTCTGGCAAATCCAATCAGTCAGACAAATATCTTGGAAACTTGTTATTGCACCTCAATAAAGACACAGACATGAGATATGAGGGATACTCACAGGAGTATCATCCAAGAAGATGAGGATCAAGTTGTTTACCAAGTCCTGCAACAAGGAAGGAAGTATCTTGAACACTCAAATCTATTTAGTTGTAACTTGTATGCTCAAATGTACATTTTAGAATACAATCAGTATCACTTATGATGTATGTACATCTGTTACAGTTATAGAACATGAATCAAGTCACAGTACAGTAGTCATACAGACCGGGTTAGCAACAGCATCTACCGCAGGCAACAGCACTGAGCCTGCCAACATCTCTCTCAACAGCGCACAGGTGCTTCTGTAAACAAATAACACACAAATAAACACATCTGGAAACCATTAACACAGTGACTTTGAACGTTGGGCCTTAGGTCTGTGGATGTAGGGAAGAGACAATCAGTGTTGGGTCACAGGATGTATGGAAAGAGACTCTCTATCAGTGTTACTTTGAGTGCAGGGCCTGAGGTCTGAGGACATACCGGGAATTCCCATATTTAAGCCCGGGGCTTAAATACGGAAAATCACTGTTCTAGTGATGAAATATTTTAACCATATTTAAGCCCAGGGCTTAAATTCGAAAATGCGCAATATTTTGATAAAATGAAAAGAATGGGCTTCTTAAAACTTTTATCAGGAAACTGGTCTTTAAATTCAAAATTGAAAGTTATGAAATGTTTACTTGAGTGCGTAAATGTGAATGTGAATGATAAAGTTGACAGTCTAATTAATGCAAAACACGAACTTCAAACTATTATGAGAGGACTGACTGACATCTAAGACAATAACTCTACAGACACTATTTAGAGCCACACAGTTTTCAGAGTTCAAAGCTTAAGGAAGTGAGTTGTTCACCACTGTGCAAATGATCTTGTGTTAAAATTTTGATCACATTAGGATCACGATTATCTTGTTGGCCGTGGTGCATTATTTTGCGTGAAGTGATGGAATATCGTTGACAAAATCAAAAGAACCAGTGATCACTGCATTTCAGCACTTCGTCTGAAATTCTTATCTCCTGTTTAAGAGCAATATCTTTTACTTTAAGAATTTTGTAGATTTCGATCGTTCATCCTTAAACCAACAGTACAAAGACTCTTCTAGATCAGGCAGTGCGGGTCTTCTCCCCGGATTTCCCGTTTTCCATCCATATTCAACAATTCATTCTTACATTTTAGCTATCGTCTGAGATTTTTATGATCAATGTTCAGTTGACATGATGCAAGACTAAGATTACTTCCAAATTCAGTCTTAACTTGTTTTACAATGTCAAGTTTTCTGTTTCCTGTCAAAATGTTCTGTAAACGTGATAACCTCGCAGAGACTCTCTATCAGTGTTACTTACTTTGAGTGCAGGGCCTGAGGTCTGAGGATGTAGGGAAAGAGACTCTCTATCAGTGTTACTTACTTCAAGTGCAGGGCCTGAGGTCTGAGGATGTAGGGAAAGAGACTCTCTATCAGTGTTACTTACTTTGAGTGCAGGGCCTGAGGTCTGAGGATGTAGGGAAAGAGACTCTCTATCAGTGTTACTTACTTCAAGTGCAGGGCCTGAGGTCTGAGGATGTAGGGAAAGAGACTCTCTATCAGTGTTACTTACTTCAAGTGCAGGGCCTGAGGTCTGAGGATGTAGGGAAAGAGACTCTCTATCAGTGTTACTTACTTTGAGTGCAGGGCCTGAGGTCTGAGGATGTAGGGAAAGAGACTCTCTATCAGTGTTACTTACTTCAAGTGCAGGGCCTGAGGTCTGAGGTTGTAGGAAAAGAGACTCTCTATCAGTGTTACTTACTTTGAGTGCAGGGCCTGAGGTCTGAGGATGTAGGGAAAGAGACTCTCTATCAGTGTTACTTACTTTGAGTGCAGGGCCTGAGGTCTGAGGATGTAGGGAAAGAGACTCTCTATCAGTGTTACTTACTTCAAGTGCAGGGCCTGAGGTCTGAGGATGTAGGCAAAGAGACTCTCTATCAGTGTTACTTACTTTGAGTGCAGGGCCTGAGGTCTGAGGACATAGGGAAAGAGACTCTCTATCAGTGTTACTTACTTCAAGTGCAGGGCCTGAGGTCTGAGGATGTAGGCAAAGAGACTCTCTATCAGTGTTACTTACTTTGAGTGCAGGGCCTGAGGTCTGAGGATGTAGGGAAAGAGACTCTCTGCCATTCTCCTGAGATACTCCAGTTCTGCTTTTCGACTCCACATGGCTACATGAACGTCTTGCCCGAGGTAGTCAATGACACACTGCTGGAAGTCAGTGGCACCTTCAGCTGAAACAGGAAATGTTGTGCAACTTCCAGTGCTGTCATACTGAACAGTATCCATCATGAGAGCTGCAACCTGTAGATGAAACAGGAAATGTTGTGCAACTTCCAGTGCTGTCATACTGAACAGTATCCATCATGAGAGCTGCAACCTGTAGATGAAACAGGAAATGTTGTGCAACTTCCAGTGCTGTCATACTGAACAGTATCCATCATGAGAGCTGCAACCTGTAGATGAAACAGGAAATGTTGTGCAACTTCCAGTGCTGTCATACTGAACAGTATCCATCATGAGAGCTGCAACCTGTAGATGAAACAGGAAATGTTGTGCAACTTCCAGTGCTGTCATACTGAACAGTATCCATCATGAGAGCTGCAACCTGTAGATGAAACAGGAAATGTTGTGCAACTTCCAGTGCTGTCATACTGAACAGTATCCATCATGAGAGCTGCAACCTGTAGATATCTCAAATGATTCAACCCCATGACAAAACACAGGTTAACTTCAAGGTGGGGGTCAACATTACTTTTCAAGTTTTCCACATTTATATAGTAATATACATATACAGGTGTGTGTGTTAGTTATGAGTAACCTTAGGATGTATACAGCAGGTAACTCACCATCTATCTTGGGCTGTATACAGCAGGTAACTCACCATCTATCTTGGCCTGTATACAGCAGGTAACTCACCATGTATCTTGGCCTGTACACAACAGGTAACAGGTAACTCAACATGTATCTTCGCTGTACACAACAGGTAACTCACCATGTATCTTGGCCTGTATACAGCAGGTAACTCACCATGTGTCTTGGCCTGTACACAACAGGTAACTCAACATGTATCTTGGCCTGTATACAGCAGATAACTCAACATGTATCTTGGCCTGTATAGAGCAGGTAACTCACCATGTATCTTGGCCTGTACACAACAGGTAACTCACCATGTATCTTGGCCTTTATACAGCAGGTAACTCACCATGTGTCTTTGCCTGTACACAACAGGTAACTCACCATCTATCTTGGCCTTTATACAGCAGGTAACTCACCATGTATCTTGGCCTGAACACAACAGGTAACTCACCATGTATCTTGGCCTGTAAACAACGGGTAACTCACCATGTATCTTGGCCTGAATACAACAGGTACTCACCATGTTTTCTTGGCCTGTACACAACAGGTAACTCACCATGTATCTTGGCCTTTATACAGCAGGTATACAGCAGGTAACTCACCATGTATCTTTGGCCTGTATAGAGCAGGTAACTCACCATGTATCTTGGCCTGTACACAACAGGTAACTCACCATGTATCTTAGCCTGAATACAGCAGGTAACTCACCATGTATCTTGGCCTGTATAGAGCAGGTAACTCACCATGTATCTTGGCCTGTACACAACAGGTAACTCACCATGTATCTTAGCCTGAATACAGCAGGTAACTCACCATGTATCTTGGCCTGTACACAACAGGTAACTCACCATGTATCTTGGCCTGTATGCAGCAGGTAACTCACCATGTATCTTCGCTGTACACAACAGGTAACTCACCATTTGTCTTGGCCTGTATACAGCAGGTAACTCACCATGTATCTTAGCCTGAATACAGCAGGTAACTCACCATCTATCTTGGCCTGTAAACAACAGATAACTCACCATGTATCTTGGCCTTTATACAGCAGGTAACTCACCATGTATCTTGGCCTGTACACAACAGGTAGCAGGTAACTCACCATACACAACAGGGTAGCAGGTAACTCACCATGTATCTTGGCCTGTATACAGCAGGTAACTCAACATGTATCTTGGCCTGTATACAACAGGTAACTCACCATCTATCTTGGCCTTTATACAGCAGGTAACTCACCATGTATCTTGGCCTGTACACAACAGGTAACTCACCATGTATCTTGGCCTGTAAACAACAGGTAACTCGCCATGTATCTTGGCCTTTATACAGCAGGTAACTCAACATGTATCTTGGTCTGTACACAACAGGTAACTCACCATGTATCTTGGCCTGTATACAGCAAGTAACTCACCATGTATCTTGGCCTGTATAGAGCAGATAACTCACCATGTACTTTAGCCTGTACACAACAGGTAACTCACCATGTGTCTTGGCCTATATGCAGCAGGTAACTCACCATGTGTCTTGGGGTGCATACAACAGTTAACTCACCATGTATCTTGGCTTGTATACAGCAGTCTAGGTGTTCTATGGCTGCCTTCACCAGTTTACGGATTACCAGTTTCGGTATGTCAAGCTGAAAGTATATCAAGGGACAAGGTACAAAGCTAAATTAGTAAAATCTAAATATTTTTTATATTTGTATACTTATCCTGCACTACTTACTTCCTGCACTTATTGCTTGCGACTCAAAACGTGGTTGTGCCAGACGATTGATGTTGAAAAGCGTGAGACTGCGCATCACTTCCTGGTCTTGGGTAAACATCCGTCTGCGCGATGCATCATCGAACGCGTGACGTCCAGCCACCTCTGATTATTGCCGTAAACTCCCACAGATGAATCACGAGGGGAGGTAGCTGAAAGCGCCAGGGTGGGCCCTTATCATAAGTAGTGCAGGATAAGTATCTAAATATAAAATATATTTAGCTTTACTAAATTTTTAACTAATCCTGCACTACTTACTTCCTGCACATTTATCGGACAGGCAGGATGGAGGCGTGTCATCTGGGGATCGCCTACCGCCAAGGTAAACAAAAGACAGCTCGGTCAAAGTCATCAAGCGCGCTTCATGCGGTGGTGGTAACAATCATGGCACCTAAGCGGACAGCGAAAGTGACGATCAGGCAGTGGTAGTATGAATATATAAGACACGTGAGTCTTAAATGGTCTATACCACCACGCATTTTTAAAGCGTTATAAGCTTTTAGGAAATGCAGTAAAAAGCTGTGACTGGAGTTAACCCAAGTGTTACTGCTTAACTGACAGACCCAGTTGTTCCAGAACAACTCTCTTCCCACAAGGCATCGGCGTGCTTCATGGGAACAAAAAGCATGGTGGAAGATATCTTCGGTGCACCTGGAAGAATAGTCAACAAACAGTGACTATCTCTCAGTGGTAATTTGCATATAAGACAGGCAGGCTTAAATGGAAAGACCACGCGATTTTTAAAGCAAGATTAGCTTTAGGGAAATGCAGTAAAAAGTATTGACTTGAGTTTTTCCAAGTGTTACTCCTTAACTGACATATCCAGTTGTTTCCCTCGGAACAACTCTTTTCCAACACGGCGTCATCATGCTTCGAGGGAAGAAATATCATAAAGGAAGGCACCTTTGTGGAATCTGGAAGAATGGTCGGCAGAGAGGGATTATATCTCAGTGGCAATTCGCATATAAGCCATGTGCGGCTTAAATGGAAAGGGACGAGCTACGCTCATATCCTCTCTTGTTGATGTGAGACTTGTCACCACGCCTCCTGCCACGCGCCGGGCTGATTCCAAGCCCACCTAACAGTGTGGCGCCGAGGCTATAGTAGGTACTGGATTCATGTAATGAGGATGTTTGACTTGCTGGAAGGCTGTCAACGCTTATCTCCCCTGTGTGAGTAAAGTCACACACTGTTCGATAGGACGCCCTTGAACTCAAGTATTAAAGATGGCATTCGGAGGACTTGGATTGGTGAAATAGATTCCTCGGAAGCTTAGAATCCTAACCGGAAAATCCTTGACCTCAAATAACACCTGCGCTTGGCGAGAACTGCCTGTAAGTGTTCGCCAAGGACAGTGACGCGACCATCCACTACCAAGCCATCATGCATATAGAAGAGAGGTGACGATCCTGTATACGGACTGTCAGGTCTTGAGAGACAATGTTAATAACCGGAAGCTTAGTTGAGATAGGAAGGAGCATCCGTGGTGGATTCCAAATCAAGGGCCGTCATTCCTTGAGTATCGTGGCCTTGTAAGAAGAAACACTGTCACTTTCGCTTAATTTCCTCATCCACCTGGGCTGCCCTATTGATGAATTCAAGACAAGGGAGTGCGTGAAACGCCACCGGTATAGGTACCATATTAGTTGAAGTCTTCGAGGGCAAAGATGTGTCCGCCTGCCGGCGTAGAGGTCAGTGGAGACAGTGGCGCCAACCAACAGCTGCCAAACTCTTGAAGATGTGGAGGCGCTGACGCAGTATGTTACTTCATATAGATGCTCAATCTGGTATAGGCCCTGGAATGAGGGAGGAGTGAGTATGATTTTATAGGGCTTAGATCCAGTAGAGCCGCATGTGCAGGCGCTGGATCTGGTAGAATGCTGTATCTGGTAGAAAGAACAGAACAGGCATTTGAGTGAGTGAGGATGGTTTGATAGGCTCGTACAGGTGCTGGATCTGGTAGAAAAACTGGACAGATGCTGGAGTGAGTGAGTGAGTATGGAGCTGCAGGTTGGCTTCCATACAAGCACTGGATCTGGTAGAAACGCCGGACAGGCGCTTGGAGTGAGTGAGAATGAGTTTTTATAGAGGCGCCGTACAGGCGCTGGATCTGGTAGACATGCCGGACAGATGCTGGAGTGAGTGAGTGAGTATGGTGTCATAGGTGCCTTACAAGTGCTGAATCTGGTAGAAACGCCGGAGAGGCATTGGAGTGAGTGAGGATGGTTTTTATAGGCGCCGTACAGGCGCTTGATCTGGTAGATACCCTGACAGACGCTGGAGTGAGTGAGTGAGTATGGTGTCAGGTGCCATAAGCACTGATCTGGTAGATACCCCCTTAAGGCGCTGAATCTTGGTAGACGCGCTGGAGGAGTGAGTGAGTATGGCAGAAACGCCTGACAGCACTGGAGGGTGCAAGATACAAGCATCTGGTAGAATCGCCTGGGTGAGTGATCAGTGGATGCACTATATGAAGACAGAAACTGTCATAGGTGCCATACAAGCACTGGATCTGGTAGAAACGCCGGACAGGCGCTGGAGTGAGTGAGTGATGTATGGTGTCATAGGTGCCTTACAAGTGCTGAATCTGGTAGAAACTCTTGGTGAGTGAGGA